TGTATGTCTGGGTTCTGTATATATTGAAGATCAATTATTATTTATCAAATATGCAGAACGTATACTTTGTTCTGTATGTCTGGGTTCTGTATATATTGAAGATCAATTATTATTTATCAAATATGCAGAACGTATACTTTGTTCTGTATGTCTGGGTTCTGTATATATTGAAGATCAATTATTATTTATCAAATATGCAGAACGTATACTTTGTTCTGTATGTCTGGGTTCTGTATATATTGAAGATCAATTATTATTTATCAAATATGCAGAACGTATACTTTGTTCTGTATTTCTGGGTTCTGTATATATTGAAGGTCAATTATTATTTGCCAAATATGCAGAACCTTTCTGTATATTTTGTTCTGTATGTCTGGGTTCTGTATATTTTGTTCTGTGTGCCTGGTTCAGTATATATTTAGATCAATTATTATTTATCATATATATAGAATTAATTATACAGAATTTTAATCAGATTACCTACAATGATTCAAAGCATATTAATTAAACTAGTGCTACTCATCAATTTATATATAATTTTTGTTAGTATGCCTGGTCTTGTTATTTCAAACTTGCATGTAGCAAAATTTGCCTAGTATTAATAATTATAAAAAAAAGATTAGTATTTAATAACAAATATTTAATAATTAATATGTTAATAATTTCCATTAAGATCACTAATGGATGAGAATTCATGAGCTGTAAATTCTAATTAATAATCTATTGATGTAAATAGCATTTGGATGAATTATTGCAGTCATAGTTTTAATGAACATAAATATTTTTTTAATTAATTTATGTTTTCCAATTTGTTCTCGAGAATATTGAAAACAAAATGAAATTATTTAATTTAGTAAAAATAGCTTTTAAAAAAAGTCAAAGATAACAATAATTAAATAATTTTCTTTATTTAAAAATTATTTGAGATATTAAATGAATATAATGCACACAAATTTGTATACAATTTTTTGAGGGTTTTTTCCAGATATGAATAGTGAAAATAAAAATAATGTTGTTGCAGAAGTTGTTTCATCCTTGAATTGATCACACGAATTGTTATTAGTGTAATATTTATTACAAGTTGGTTGTTTACCAGTTGGATGGAAATGTGTGTTGGCTTTAGTTAGATGAATTTGTATATATACAATTTTGAGTTGTAATTTTTAATTAGCCAGGCAACAATATGTGCTGATTTTGTTTGTACCCAAAATTCAGTATGGTATGATCATAATGTTATGACAGGCTGTTGAATACTAAAATAGTTTTTTTTAGTGAACCAAATAATTTTTTTAGGTTAATTATCATTCTATTGACCAGTTTATACATCAAAAAAATATTCGTTTAACATCAAGGCACAATAATAATAAGATATAGGGTTTGAAAAAGGATACAAAAAACCAAATTAGCTGATATGCAAAAAGAGTTGGACGTTTACATATTTTCTTTCATGAATATTTACATTTACATTTTGATTTTTTTTTTTATTATATGACACATGTTAATAATCCGTCACAGGAACATAAGTGATTTTTGAAAATTATCACAATTGAAAATCATTGAAAATCTTATACTAATTTGTAGGGTTCTGTATATTCCCGCAAAAAAGAACCTTTCTGTATATAATATTACCCATAAAAGAATTACGTAGATCGATTTCAGAAAAATAAAAATTTTTTTTTTGAAATTTACCACCCAACGAAAACAAAAAATTCTTTCCCAAAAAATTAGGTTTGAAAAAGATAGAATTTTGCTGTTCATTGATCATGCCTCTCCTCACCTTGCAAAGCATTTCATGCAACGCTTGCAATTGAATATATTAAGAAACGAAACATTTGCCGTTTCGCCAAATATGGTGAAAACGTTGATCGCGCCAAAAGCCGAAAAAACCAAGCGCGGCTAAACGCAAAAGGAGACATTCGGCGAGAAACCTGTACGAAGGTCGCTCGCCTTACTGATTTTGGAAGGTGGTCGTGACACGGCAAATGTTTCGTTTCTTACTTGTGTTAAATTAAATTAAATATATTTAATAAAAAAGGAAATAACATGAATATTAATATGCAATTTTTATCAATTTCGTCAGACAAAAAAAAAATATATTACACATGTATCTATATTGTATTTTTATGAACTTGTTTTTGATGCAAAGTAAGGATAATAAGTGGTGTTATTAGTTAATTAACGGTTGATTTAACTTGTTGTAAAAAACCAAATTTTTAGCTAGTTATCCAGGTCTTCACACAGTCCTTGTCAAATTGTTAACACAATACTTGTCGGTAAAGTGTCCTGTCGGTAAAGTGGGTGTCGGTAAAGTGTCCGGGTCCGTTTCCATATTTGTAATAACTTGCAGATTGGTTAAATAACTGCTCAGCAAAGTTCAAATAATCAGCAAGTTATTTAACTAATTAACAGTTTAAAAGTTCAAAAAGATTTGAACCAGTTAAATTGCCAATACTGCAATTTCTTGTTAGACTATTCATTTTAAATTGAGTTTCCATAAAAAATTTTTTGCCTTTTTTAATAACCTCAAAGTTGCACAAGTTTACTATGTTGATATGTCAGCAAATTTCCTAGAAGTAGATTTTCCATTCATTCTAATCATCAAATAATTTAATTTCTCCAAAGAAAGGTTTTTAATTTTATGATTTGATTTCTATTTTCACACAATCAATGATAATTATACTTATATCAAATATCTGTAATGAAATTCTAGAAAGTTACAAAGCACTATTATTAATAAATATTCAAGTTTTATTATTATCAGGGTTAAAATTTCTTCAATTAATAAAAAATGGATCATTAGTATCAGCAGCTGCTGCAATCACCAGCCAATAGCTGCGACTTTCAACACCTAATTAAATAGGCAAAAATTTTATTCTTATATTTATTTTTTCGCATATATTTGTTTATACGCGTGTCTAATCGTAACTTTGTAGAGAAGGATCTTAGCTTCAAAACTAAGGCTGGCAGCGTAAAGGGATTAAACCCTAATTTAGTAATAATTGTCTTGACTAAAATTGACTTAACATATTAATATGATTAAATAGTTTAGTCAGTTTAGCCAACCCTATGAAAAATAAAATACGAATTAACGTATGTTAAATACGTTTTTAAAAATATATATTTGATATACGGAATTAATATATCTCTTATACGGTTTTGAAAAATTACTCTTTTCAATTTTAGCGTGAAATACGGAATTGATACATACTGAAAAGCCGTATATAATAATAAGGTACATAATTTTTGACATATTAATACTAATATTGGAAAGGTTCTAGTATGTTTTGATTCCGCGTATAAGGTACGTAATGTATAAAATACTGAAAAGAATACATTTGTTTTATTCATTATTATTATAAAACATGTAGTATTTCATCAACAAGCTTACAACTGAGAACGCAATGTGAGCTTCTGCTATGCGAGAACAAAATGCATTTATTTTAAGTTGGGTTTGGATCGTATCTTCTTTGTAGCAAAAAGCAAAAAAAATAACATCATTCAGGCCAAAAAAATAGTCTATTTTATTAAATTCAATACATATAAATATTTCATACAACACCCTCACAACAATATGTATCTTCTACATCATCTTAAACTTTTATTCGAATTTACACAACAAATATATATATTGAATTCATAAATCCGTCCATGACAAATTTATCAAAGGAATATCAGATATAATGAAACTTTAAATTATAATTGTGTTAAAAGCAATAACGGTCTGTATTAATATATATTATGTTGAAGAGAAATGGTTTGAGTAGATGAATAAACAAATGTGAATAATAGAGAAAAAATCTTTCGCAGAATAATTATCGTGACTCATTTCTATTGATAATATGAACAATCAACAATTTAATCACCGAACTAGGAGAATAAATTTCTATATTTAATAGTAAAGCAAATCTTGTCAAACATAAAAAGAACGGTTGAGTGAAAATAAGTAATTATAAAATTATTTTTAGTATACAAAATGAGTGGTAATTTTCATTCTTCAACTTCTACCTATTCTACTACTCCAACAACAACCTTAGCAGTTATAACACGTCGATATTTGTAATTAATTTTTTTTTTACACGTTTTCAATCTTTACTTCCGATACAATATCAAATGTCACCACAATCTCGATTTACTTCTCGGACCACGACCTCAAATTCAAATTCAATCTCAAATCTTTACTTGAAACACAGTCTCAAATTCCATCCTCAATACAATAATCCCAATTGCCGACTTTTTTTTCGCCACATTCTCGATTACAACAAAGAGAACTTACGATTTTGAATTCCCAAGTAAGCCACTAATCATACTCAAATCATTGAAATGGGTCTATTATTCTTCAAAAAAATAATCGAGCACAATTTAATTCATGACAACAAATGTCAGTCATAATAATGGATTAGATGTGTATCTTGATTTCGTAATTCTAAATTTAAATGATAAAAATCTTTCTGAGGTTTTCTATACGTATTGATAATTCTATTATATTGGTAGAAATTTATGTAGATTTTTTGGAATGAAGTAATTTTAATATGAATTTAATTTTTAAAACCTAAATGATTTCAAGCTCAAAAGTAAACTTAATAAAATCTTCCTTTGGTTACAAATTGATTATTCAATAACATTCATATTAAACCAAAAGGATATTTGGAATTTGGTTAATCAAGTTATGGAACAATGGATGCTGAAAATTCCATTTATTTACAGTGAAAATTTTCACAGATTGTTGTCAATTAACTTTTATCAATAAAAACCATTTGCTTTTCTTTCTGCTTTCTTTTGTGAACCAAATGAATAAATAATTCTAAACTTTTTTTCGCCCGCTATAAGAAAATGTGACATTGTTAAACGTTAGACTCAAGTATCAAGGAATAGCAAGGCTGCAAAGGCTGCAAAAGTAGACCTTGCAAAGAAATATCCGGGTAAGCAGAAGAAAGTTTCAAGAATTTTATCAGGGATTTAAATGTCTTTGAAGGCAAGTATTTCCATCGCCAAATCATTCCTAATGTCGCACGTCTATCAGTGTATAATTGGAGTTGGAAATAGTAAACCATTTTTCAAATGAAGATTGTTTACAATCAACATTTGCCATTAAGTAATAGAAGTATTAATTGATTGATTATTCAATGAATCAATATATAATAATTAGTAAGATGAGATGTTGTGGTCTTCTTTAGTCATAAAACCTTCAAGAGTGAGGAAGAATCCGCCATTCATTATCAATTCCGTAATTGATAATCAGTTAAAATAATTAAAAGTAATTTGATCTTGTTGTTGTTTGTGAGCATTCCTTGCGAGTAAGTTTTTAAAATACATCCTTTTAACAATAGCTGCAAGTAAATTTTGCAACCAAAGCTGTAGTTGTAAATTTGTCTATTTGAAAAAAAAAATTCTATATTATTTTTATCAACGGCAAATTTTTACATGAAATAATTTCTCGATCCAAAGTTATGCAAAATTATTTATTTTTTGATAGTCAATGTAACAATAATATTTGTTGTATGCATAACAAATAAATAAACAAATCATAATAAAAATGGCAAATTTCTAGAACAATTAATTTTAATAATTTAATCGCTTAATTATCATCATTTATTTCCTCTCTTTCATTATTATTATTATTATGAATGTCACCGATGTGATTAGTTGAGGGTGACAATGATGAATTTGATTCATCCAAATAATCTTCTATATTTTTCATATCTTGAGTATTTCCAATAAAATCTTCAGTATCTGCAAGATCTTCAGCATCTGTGTTAACATCAATGTATTCCATATCTTGAGTATTTCCAATAATGTCCCTAGTATCTTCAACATTTCCAACATCTTCAATACTTGTATTAACCTCAATATCTTCAACATCTTTAGTATTTTGGATATCTTCAACATTTCCAACATCTTCAGAACTTATATGAACTTCAATATCTCCAATATCTTTGGTATTGTTAGTATCTTCAACATTTACAATATCTTCAGTACTTGTATTAATCTCAACATTTTTAGTATTTTTAGTATCTTCAACATTTCCAATATCTTTAATACTTGCATTAATCTCAATATCTTTAGTATTTTCAGTATCTTTAACATTTCCAATATCTTTAATGTGAGTATTAGCCTTAATATTTTGAATATCTTTAGTATTTTCTACATTGTTTTTACTAGTATTCTCAACATTTAAATCGTCTGAAATATTGTTTTCTGAAATCTCCAAATCACTCAATACTTTATTTTCATCTTCATCAGATCCCTCCAATTCTAAATTATCATCATCATTGTTATCAACTAAATTGTCATCATCATCAGATAAATTAACATCATCGTAGTTATCGTCATCGTCATCACCATCATCACCATCATCATTATCATCGTCATCATCGTCATCGTCATTATCCATATTATCATCAGAATTATTAGAGCCATCACAATTATTAGAATCATCAGAATCATCCATATTATCATCAGAATTATCAGGACCATTTGAATTATTATAATCATCCGAATTATTAGAGTTTTCTTCTTCTTCTTCATCTGAGTCAATCGAAAAATTTAATACTAAATATTAAATATCAATTATCTTATATTAATTATTAATTATTTGCATAATTAAACATCAATCAATCATTACATGGACATCATCATCAGCAATAAAATTATAATAATAATTCATGTTATTGTTATTACCTGCATCATATTCCAAAAGTCTCATTTTTTTACGAGCAGTTTCGTATTGATTACCAACCAATATATATTTCCTTATATCACAATCATCTATACATTTCACCTTTTCATCTTTGACAATTTTTTCCAATTTTTCTTCTGACAGCTGCTTCACCCGCCTACTCAACTCTAATTCACGTTTAAAACTTTTTGGTTTTGATTTTGATGAACCTGGAAAATTGTTGAATAAAAATATATTGTTTCTGAAAAATCTTGGCATCGTCAATAGATAGATATAGATTTATATGTAGGATTAAGAATTTTATTGGTAGGAACTGTTCAAACTGTTCAACAATAACTATTATTGATATATTGTTATATTAAGAAAAAGACTAATTACACGTGTAAAAGGAAAAAAGACTTTATGAAAAATAAATTAGAAAGAAAAATTTTTTTGGTTTTTTTTTTGATGAAGAAACAAAAAATTATTATGATTTGTAAACAAACATTTATTTTATTTATACAATTATATTAAAACTATTACAACGTCATTCATCAATGATTAAAAATATATTAGTAACCAATGATTTTTATTGCAATTATAATGATTTATTAAGTTCCTTACGCAATATTTTTGTAATGTTTGCAAAATTAAAATTTTTATAAAATAAAAACAAACATAAACATCATGACCCATACACAAATTAATACAATTAATTTATTCATTCATTCATCTCAACAATGCTTTTATCTTGAATATCTTCGGCTTTATCTGATGATAATGTAGGAATTGGACACACTTTCTCTGCCTTTTCCAATAATTCTAAAACTTCTTGGTCTTCCATCTATTATTATTATAAATTATATAAATTATATAAAATACTATGTATACATGAGAAACATACATTATTTATTTATTCTTAAACTCATTGATACCTGAGTGAAATCTTCATACCATTGTCCGATACCCATTAAATTCTCTGGTGTCAAAACACATACCACATCGTCTACTTTTTTAATTATTTTCGAAATGGTGTCAGAGGCTGCTACTGGTACCGCCACGACCAATTTTTTGGGATTTCTAGAAATACAATAATAATGATAATAATAATACTATTAATAACTTTGGGAAGTTTTAAAAAAAAAATTTTAAAAATTAAGATTAAGATTACAATTGTTTTAATGAAGTGCAACAAGCACTCATTGTTGCACCTGTTGCGATTCCATCTACGATGTTTATTGTTTGTTTGTTATTTATATATTTTAATGCTAATCATATCTGATATTATTATTTTTCCGTACTAACCATCTACCAATATTATGATCTTTCCAGATACATCAACAGGGGTTTTACCCTTGCGATATTTTTGATTACGACGTTGTAATTCGCTTTTCTTTATTACGGTTAGAAATTATTTGGTTAGTAGTGTAACGAAATAATCACTACATGATTTATGAGAAATATGATTTATTATTACACACTTCTTTAGCGATAACACGTTTAATCGACTTCTCATCAATTCGTAACACATCAATAATATCATGGTTAAAAACTGTAGCTGTCTCGGTAATTGCACCCATTGCTAATTCCTCTTGCCTGAGTTTTTTTTACCATGTAATTTACAAACAAAATTCCTATTTGCGATTACCTAAATAATGCAATAAATGTAATTACTTGCCCTTCTACACCTAGTTTTCTTACTAGAAATACATCCAAAGGAGCTTTTAATCTTTCTGATATTTGATAAGCAACCGGCACCCCACCTCTAATATCAATAATATACCGATAAATATTAGTTATTCTAATCATATTCATTATATTACTGATCATCTATCTATACCTTGGTAAAGCCAATACGATAAAATCTTTGCTGGCATTATTATATTTGTTGATTAAACGATCTGCGAGCATTTTTCCCGCTTGTTCACGATTTTTGAATCTCATTTTTTTATTTTTTTAATATTTTTAAAAAATTATTTTTGTGTGAAAAAAATAGATAATTTATTTATAATCTATTTCCATGCGTGCGTGATTAATATATTAGTATTAGTTACTTTAATGACACTGTGTGAAAAAAAAAATTTTTCGAAATCATCATGTATAAATTGGTATTATTAATTTGATTGGTCATTATAACTATTATTAGTATGATGCAGAACCTCCTAGATTTTTCATGACCTTTTAAAAAAAGAGCTCAACATTTTAAAATTTAACTATTACTATTAAATCGATAGAACAGGTCTCTCTCTAGCTTTAATAGAAAAAACAATTTGTGTAAAGTTTTATTCCTTTTTAGGATTAAATTTATTATAAGCACATATGACTATGATTTCTAGATTTGGTCAAAAATGTTACCTTCATTTATCTAATTCCATTTTTGACACAACATGTTTGGTTCTGCACCATAGTTTATTTTCTGTTTTTATCTTATTATACATATATTTTCCTAATATATCTTATCCTTCCTTATTTTTCTTAATACGTTCTTAATAATATTGAATGCAGGAATTATAAGTGTCAGATTGGATCAATTTTGTTATGTTATGCATAATATAAATAGTAATAATTGATTTATTTTATTAAATAAAGGTTTTATTTGATACATACTAAAAAATTCCCCGAAAACAAATGAATCTTGTGCGTAATATAAAATTTTTGTATATAAATTGATGTTATTTCTTCACGAAAAACTTTTCACAACTATTATTTTATACCTTTTCCCAAACATTCATTTACACTTTTCAATAAACTATCATTTATATTCCCATTTAAACTTCGTATCATAAATCATAAACTCCCTTTTCTCCCTAATCTTTTTAATAAACTTAAAACTTCTTCCATCATGACATCGTATAGTTTATTATTTTCAGATAATAAAATTTGTAGCGAGAGAAATAAATCAATAATCAATTTTCCAAACAAGCATCATCTAACATTCACTTATCAAATCAACAACAACGACGTCGAGAAAACTTATTATTTCAGTCATAATATAGAAAATCATGAATTCTACATCCAAGAAATAATTAACAAAGATGTAATAATAACAGAAAGTGGCAAATTGGACAATGGATACGAATTGGGATTTTCATTCCAAGTCAATCAACAAATATTTTATTATGCACAAAGTAATCAAACAAAACGTTGGTTCATTCAGGAATTGTTGGTGGATGGAAAGCTGGGAAAAGTGACGGATCGAGGACAATGGTTGAATGTTTATCAAGTGATATTTCCATTTCAACCATCTTCTTCTTCTATTAAAGCTTATTATTTTGGTCACAATGTAGATTCCAATTATTGGTTTATACAAGAATTGTTGGAAGGTGGAAAATTGGGATTGGAAGTTTGTAATGGACATTGGGAAGCACCATGCCATATTCTGATTCCATTCAAAATAAAAGATAGAGATTTTTTTTATTCCCATAACTTGGATAATTGTGAATGGAATATACAAGAATTGTTGTTTGAGGATGCTGATAATGAAGTTGATGACGTTAGTAGTAAAGTGGTTGCTAAAGTGGTCGTTATTGATAACGGAAGATTGAAGAAACCGTTTCCGTTGAACTCCATCTTTAAACTAAATAATGTCAACAACAACAACAATAGTGACAACAATAAAACCGTTATTTTCTCCTATAATAAAGAAACTAAATTCTGGTTTATTCAAGGAATTTTGAGTAGTGGAAAAATGGGTTTTAAAATAACAAACGGTACCTTCAACTATCATTACGATTCTTTCATCTCTTTCTCAACCAACAACAATAAAACTTCCATAATAGGAAGAATCGCTAACAAATGAAAAGATTTAGAAAATGATGATGAAAATCAATTTATAGAATTTAGAATTTATCAATATAGAATTATTTTTTTGTATCTAATTTTTTTTTTCTCCAAATAAATACCATCACTTACACGTCAATCGATTATCAAAAAATCTTAAACAAAAAGGATTTAGTGTAACCTATTTTCCAAAGTTTAATTTTTATAATGAATTTTTATACATAATTTTCCAAGATTTCTAAAAAAAATTTTATTTCAATTTGTGATTATAATAACCTTTGCAATAATAAATAAACTATTGAATGATAATTTGTGAAAATAAAAATAGTAAACTACTATGAAGTATGTAAAATTATTTGCATTATTACTAATTTCTAAATCATTTATGATAATTATATTTTGTGTATATTATGATACAATTGTTATTTTACAATAGGTTGGAAATAATCACTAAAGGTGAAGGTAAATTATTGGATGAAAGGAAATCGATAATTGATATAATTATTCATTGGATGATGATGAATTAATTAGAGACTTATTCACTATAATGTTTATATTTTACCATAGTAGTTGGAATAGAAAGATCCAAAAGAAGAAAAATTACATCAATAAATACAAACATAACAGCAGCATTTAAAAAAAATTTAAATGGATTTTATAACAATAACAATATCAACAACTACAACTACAACAATAGCAATAACAATGATGATGATGGTTTTTTTTCTTTCAATTATTATTTTTAATCATTATCTTAATTAATCAATTAAAATCCACCATTAATTAATAAATGAATTGAAATTTTTTTATTTTATTTTTTCTTTGGTTTAATAATGCAGATAGAAATCACACATCAGAAGAAATTGTTAAAATCCAAGATGTGTTGATTATCATTAATAATTATATCCACAATAGATCAGAAGATTATTTTGTAAGATTAGAGAAATTGTTTAAATTAGTTAAATTAATAAAAAGCCAAGAAAAATTAAAGTTAAATTATTCAACGAAAGATTTCTTCAAGAGGTGAGAAGTTGTTTAATATTATGATATAGAGAAGGTGGAATGGGAGTATGTATAGTGGTGAGGGATGAATGTGGACATGGAGAGTATATAATATATAATATTGACATATAATTTCACACATATAATACATATAATTTAGCTTGAGATATTGTGTGTCAGATCCAATTAAAGAAATAAGGATTGTTGGATATAGATTATTGAGATATTTGATAACTGACACAAAATCATTAGAAGATATAATCAATTTAAATTATAAAATATTCATCATGAGGTAAATTTAATTTGATAATCTAATCGATTGATTAATTTATTAATCTTTTTTACAATTTTTTCATTCATTCATTTCAAATATTTCTCCACAAAATCTATTTCACAAAGATCACTGTCGAAGGATCCTCGATCATTCAATGATGAACGTGAAGAAGTTCTCAAACTTGTTAGATCATTTTTTGATGTGCCAAATGGTATAAAACTTATACCTTTGGGAATATTAAAATCAATTGTATCAATTGCTGAACAATCTGATGACAAATTGAAAATAATGAGTTTAGAAACATTAATTGAAATCAGTTAAGATTGGTTAAATATTTGCATGATTAAATTTTTTAATATTGACTATTATTATTATTATTATTATTATTATTATTATTATTAAAAAATAATATTCCATCCAACATATCATTTTCAGTGATTCGTGAACCTGAAATCATAATAAAATGCGGTGGAATGGGAATTATTTTAAAATCGTTGATTGATGGACCAATAGACATGCTGGAATGCATTATAATGTCATTATTATACATTCTTGATATTCCAGAAACTCGTGATTATATTAGACCAGGAATTGATTTGGAAATTGTAATTTCAATATTCACCGGTTCATTCAAACATTCATCACCAAATAATAATTATAGCAACAATAACAATAAGAGTAATAATAGTAATGGCAATAAGAATAGGAGTAATAGCATTAGTATAGAAGACGATTTAAAAATAAAAGCTAGCACTAAAGCAATATCCCTATTACTAAAATCCTGGACTGGAATGGTTTATTTATGTTTTAATGATCGACAATCGCTCAATTCCATTGTTGAATCCTTGAAAATATCTCCAATCGACACAAAGGTACCTTAAATGCACTAATAATCACGTTAATAATAGTACTAATAGTTATCATTCTATCTATTCAAAAAAAAACCCCCATATTTTTTAGAATGTTATAATAGAAATGTTTTTTGATGTTCTTAGAATAAATGGTACTGAGTTATCTCAAAGATATTTATCAAGGAAAAAAAATCCATCTTTGATTGATAATGTTAATTATAATGATGACGACAATGATAATGATTACCAAAGTTTCAAGGATCTATCATCATTAGAATTTTATTCTAGTAGTAGTAATAATAGCAGTACATTACAAAATCAAAATAAATTAAACATGATTGATCATCATTTGGCTATTTTATTAGTTGTTTTAATTGATGCTGGACTTCTCGAGGTATTTATTTATTATAAGTAAATGAATAAATATATAATTATTATTATTATTATTTCTATCTTTAATTAATTAAATTAAAATTAATGATTATAGATTCTAGTTGAAATGGTTGAGAAGAATCAGGATCAAGAGCTAACAAGAAAATCAATTATATTCATTAGCGAAATTTTGAAATTATCAAGTAAATTACTGCCATCATCAAGATTTATTAAAATACAAGTAATGTATAATACGAATAAAAAATACATTAACTAAAGCGTTTATGAAGAAATACATAGTACATCCAAAATTAATAATTTATTCCATCTCCCTCACACTTTTATTGATAGTCACTGTCAAAATTGTTTGACTTAGCGACAAGGTTTGATGATGAAATACTAAGAAATGCTGCAACGGAAGCTTTATCATATATTTATTACTCGAATAAATGTCCAACTAGATCAAACACTATTAAAAACAACAACAGTAATCATAATCATAACAATAACAATAATCACAACCACAATTATAATCATAATGATAAGAATGACAAGAATAAAGCTTCAAACCATTCAAGTTCAAATTCAAAAGTTTCCAAAAATTCAATAATACAGATCGACGATAATCAATTTAGAAATATGCTGATCGAGACGCAAGTATTGACAACAAAAGATTACACTAAATGGGAAGTCAAGCCAATAATGGAATTATTACAAAAAATATTATTAAACCCAAGAAGATTAGAAGAATCCATTAAAATAAATTTCATCAAATCATTGTTAGTATTTCTAAGCCCCAACTCAAGACTATTCTCGGATATTGTACGATCAGAAGAGAATGAGAAGAAATACGTTGATGTAGGGTGTACGCTCTTGACAACATTGTTAAATAATAGTTATGGTGTCAAATATTTGGAGAAAAAGTCGTTTTTGAGGCATATTTCTGATTGCTTGAATCAATTGATTCCGATGAATGGGATTTCTGAGTCGGAACCTTTATTCTCAAAAGATCAAATTAATAAAACTTTAACCTTTGGATATTTTAAAATCATTGGAATACTTTGTAAATGTAAAGAAGGTCTCAGGTAATTAAATAATAAATTATGTGTAATCTAATAAGTAAATATATCTGTTTAATTGCGTTTATTAATTATTTGGAAATGTATTGTTTAGATTATTGGAAAAATTTAAAATATTAAATACATTTTATCAATTGAGTGAATTAAATGGACGTGAGGATATCATCAAATCAATAATTAACAATCTAGATTATAGCATGCAAGTATTCTAGGATTTTATATAAAATAAACCATAATAAATAATAATAATTATAATGATATTAATATTTTTAATAGTGATGGTCATTCGCGTATTATATTATCAAAAGTTATGACATCCGGAACAAAAGTATATTTCAAATATAAATACAACTATTACTATTAATTTCCAATTTTAATTAAATAATTTTATTTCTGATAATAGCGTGTAAGATTATATTCGACAAATTATTTGGGAATACTTTTAAAAAAAACCGAAAAAAATTTTACAGAATGGGCGGTTCAATTGTTGATCACCCAGGTTACCTATTTAAATAATAATGTAATTTATCAATCCACTAATTAAATTACTAATTAACCGATCTTTCTCTAATTAGTTATATGATCCTATGATAGAAGTTTGTCAAATGGCCATAAAAATACTAGAAGAATTATGCGATAGAAATATTGATAACATAGAACTGATGATTAAATATAGACCATATTTAGACCATTTAGGAGAATTTGGAAATAACTTGTTATTAAAATTCTTGTCAACTCCAATTGGATTCAATTATCTTTATGAAATTAATTATTTAGAGAGAGAATTGATTGATTGGTTCAATGTAATATTTACATTTATATTTATATTGAGGCTTGGAAGTTGTGAATCAATAATCTAATTTATTTAATTATTACGATTTGATTTCTATATTCAATCAGGTGAAAAATCATTATTATGTTATACAGTTGGAATTAAAGTTATCTTTAAAACTGGATAAGAATGAAAACAATGTGTAATTATATACTTATTATGTACTTTGTATTATAATTATAATTATTTATATAATTTATCTATTAATTGATTAATTAGTAAATCTCTTGATGGATTGACCCCCCCTCATTTCTATGGGGAACTAATTAAAACAATTGAAGGCTGTCAGATGCTAAGAGATAAAGGCCATTTTACAGAATTTTCTAATTATATTAAAAATCATGGAATGGAAGATACAAATTATCCAATAATTAAAAAACTAAAATCAGTTCTTTGGGCTGTTGTAAGTATTTAACAAATCAACGTGTTGGAGGTTTGTGGGCAATGGGCAGTGAAGTGAATGAATAAACGAAGGGAGATTAAAAATCACAATAATGATTTATTGAACTCAATTTTTCCAATTTATTAAATAATTATATTATTATTATTATTATTATTATTTTAAAAAAGGGAAATATTGGATCATCAAAGAATGGATTAACATTTCTTGACGAAGAAAATATTATTAAAGAAATTGTTCACATTGCTGAAAATTCAAATGTTTTATCATTAAGAGGGTAATTAATTATTGAAATTAATATAATAAAAATTACAAAACTAACTTCTGAAAAAAATTTAGAACATGTTATTATGTTTTAGGATTAATATCAAAAACTTTAAAAGGCGTTGAGATATTAAAAGATTTAGGATGGGAAAGTAATTACGATCCCGATTTAGATTTATTTACTGGATTATGCCTACCAATTGATTACAAAAAATTCCTTACCGTAAGTTTATTAATTAATTAATTTACATTTGGAGGAAAATAATTTAAAATAATTTATCTGATTAAAGGTTCCAAAATGGGAATATAAAGGAGCTGATGTAATATTACAAGAAAATGCTATGCAAAAACCAATCCCGTCGTTTGAAACTGAAAAAATCTTGTTAAAAACTGTTTCTAACCTAACAAATCACATTCTATCAAATATTGAATCGACCACCAGTCTATCAAAGTAATTGTTCTTGTTAATATTATCATCATTAAGGAATAAATAATAAATTCTATTAATTTTTTAATTTATTTATTTAGAATTAAATCCAGAAATCCAGAAATATTTACCAATTTTACAACTTATTACAAAGTAATTCAAATGCTATCAATTTATCAATACAAATTACCTGCAAGAAGATACATTACTGAATTATTCCATATAGACTTTAATTCTAAAGTATTTGAAGAATTGGATAATTATGACAATAAAGATAATTATTGTATTGACAATGGTAATAATAGCAATAATAACAATGGATTTATTGTTAAAGACAATGATGGTGAATTAATAAAAGTTGGCGTTGGTGCCAATGGCATAAGAAACGACGTAGCTAACAACAACGGTTTTAAAAATAACAATAATATTAATAGTTGTAGTAATAAGGTTATTACAAAACCAAAAGAAACGTTAAATCCAATTGTAATTATCAAAGGTTTCAATGTAAAAAAATAGATTGATTGATATATATAAATATATATACATATATGATTTATGTGGTTTAGAGTATATTAGTATATACGTATGTACATTTTTTTATAAATAATTTTTTTTTTATTTTTTATTTTTTTTATTTTTATAAATAGAACTGTCAACTTGTGTAAATAATTTATATATTAAATTCAAAATTTTTTTTGTTATATTTATTTATTTATTTATTTATTTATTAATATTATATTTAATATTTATTTATTTATATATTTACAATTTTATCAAATTTGAATTGAAAAGGCCTCCCAGTGGCCACTAATAAAAGAAAGATAGACTTTCTGTGAAATAAACAATAAAAGACCTCCAGCAGCAAAAAAAAATTAAAAGCATCTTAGCCAGACCAAAGAAATAATAAAAGGCCCCTCGGCCAGATCAAAGAAATAATAAAAGGCCCGGCCAAACAAAAAAAGAACTTTTTTTAATTTTAAAATTTAACATTTGAATTACAAATAATGAGTGCCAGGTTGTGAAGAAAATTGTGGAAAACCATCTGATGATGATGATGATGGTCCTGACAAACTAAGTTGTTGGAATTGCGATTCTAGTTGTAACTCTAGGTGTGATTGTCTTGGTTGTTCATCGTGTGATTGAAGTTGTGATTGAAGTTGAGATTGAGATTGAAGTTGAGATTGAGATTGAAGTCGTGATTGAAGTTGCATATGTGATTCTAGCAACGATTCTAGTTGGGATTGTAGTTGGGATTGTAGAAGTGATTGTAAGTGGTGAGAATTTGTTGATGTAATTGCTGATAAAGTCTGTTTTTGTATTTCGGTAATTTCTTTGATTTGATCAACGAATTGTTGATATATCATATTTATATTTTGGATTAAGTCTATCATATTTAAAAAATTTGATTGTTCCCAATCGTTTTGATTATCATTATCATTATTGTTACTGTCGTTTTGGGCACTCCCCTAAATATTCGATAAAAATTAATACACAATCTTAATTTTCACATAAAACGCCTGCTTAAGCATAGAGACTATTGGTAGTGTTAATCCTTGAGTTTTAAGAACCGTAAGTGCGAAAACATTTTGTAATGGTGCCAGCATCCTTTGACACAATAATGTCAACCATGCTATTACGAATGCAAAAAAACAACCCTAACAGTATCATGACTAAATCTTTGTACAAATGTGGTTTATATTCCATGACATTGGTCTTCACAAGATTAGCAACCAATTTTTTCATCACCATCCATAATTTTCCAAGACGCAATTCTTCTGCAGCTCATCATCTCATTTAATTCCTTACATTAAAAAATCCTTGCCAAATCAATAATACAATATATAAGATGTGATTAAATGCCAATTTATAGTCATTTTTATTGTCCTGTAAAACTTTGACGTTTAAACATAAAGTATTTTACATACTAGCAATTTTTTGTGTTTTTCAGAGTATCTTCTCTTTGTTTGATATCGTCTATGTAATTCTTTTTGTTTTTCACATGGGTTGTCGACAAGCAGTATTTGAATTTGAGTCACAAGTAATGTCGCTGGAGGAGAAAGATGCTAAAAAGTGTCAAACAGATTTGTTTTAATATTAAAGAATTACCTTTCGTGCTTGTTTCTGTAAATCAATATAATTAGCATCCATGTCATCTTGGATTCTTTATGAAAACTAATTCCACCTGGATCAGAAACTACCTCTTCCACAGTTGTTCTTCCTGTTATAAAAAAAAATAACAAAATAAAACAAAATAAAAAGGGCTACAGGTCGCACCAAAATCTCAATGATAACCAATAAAATAGATTCAAGGAGATTAAAGCAAGACAAGGATCCCTCAATTGTAGCATATTAAAATTGAAAAAAGCCACATGCTACACTAAGATTTCTGCAGTATCCAATAAAATAGAATCAAGCAAAGAAAGCGACCCTTAAGCAATTACAATTAAAAAGAAGAAAACATGGGGAATGCTGGAAACCCTTTTTCCTTTAACTTGTTATCATTACAATATTTGTTGAACAGGGTAGTTTTTTCATACTCCATATACTCTAAATATGTTGAGGAACGAAAAGGATAAAAGGATAGCAGATAAAGTGAATCAACCAATAAAAATATTTTTTTCCTTTTTTTGCTTTTCAAGCTTTTAGCATGGTTGTATGAATAGATATGCGTTACACGCATTCAAAATTTTCTGTGTATATATGGAAAAAAAAACATTAATTTGAATATTGTATGTAGGAGTATGCAATGATCAACTTTATTTTTGTTGTTTGAACGTGCTATTTATCCTTTTTAATATTTTTCGCGTTTTTTATCTGAAAAAAGGGGCTGTCTTCATCTATTTTGAGAATATTATAAATTAAATCCGTGTTCGCTTCATTCGTTTCACTTCTTCCCTCAACAACTAATTATATATACAATAAATATTTTTTCCTTGAATAAAATATATATTAATATACATATAAAACATGTCACCATATATTTTTTTAACCGATCAAAATAAAGAATGGGTTCTTATGTAGCACAGAAAGAATAATTTTTTAATTTTTCAAAATCAATTCAAATTTCAAATTTCTCTAAATTAAGATGGTAAGCGTTATATATAAACCTAACAGAGTCGTTGAAAATCAAAGATACTTCCAAGTAAGAAGAATATATATAATAAATAACCTTTATATAATTTACATATAACAAAACTTGTATTAACAACAAAAATAATGTTATTTGGTAAAGGCTGATGTTCATCAACCTCTTTGGTTACGTGGAAGTGGTATTAGAAAAGGCTTCTTGTATTTACACATTACTTTTATTACAGTTGGATTTGCAAGTGCTGTATATGGAATTTCAAGAATGGCTAGGGTAAAAAAATTTTTTATGATTCTTTGAATTTATAATTTTATAATTATTAATTAATTAATACATTATTCCGTTTTTAGGGAAAGAAATCATAATATAATATTTATAAATTTATCATCATTATTATATGATAAGCAGCAAATTCTAAATTAAAATAAAATAATATTGAAGTCATAAAATAATAAAATGTTATTGAGGAATTTTTAATTGCAAAAAAAAAAATTCTTTGTAATTATCAATAATATATACGTCACATTTTTTTTTAACTTTTATTTTTATATTTTCTTTTACTAATTTCATCATCCCATTCTTTTCTAAACAGAAAATTTTCTGTAACATCTTTACCACCATTATTATTACTATTATTAAATTCTTCATAATTGTTATTGTCATCATTTTTATCATCATTTTTATCATCATTACCATTACCATTACCATTATTATTATTATAAGTTGGTAAAAGACTACTAGGTCCTGAACTTGAAAATCCTAAAGTAACTCCTTGAAGAATATTTTCATTATGACAAGATGTCTGTTTTGATGATGATGATGACGAAGGTGGTAAAGATGAAGGTGGAGATTGTGAAGATGGAAAGGATGTATTAATATTATTACTGACACTAGTACTATTGTTGGTGATAATAGTTTCTGGAGGAGATGGTGGATAAGCTTGATGGTCAAGTTCTCGTTTATAATATTTTATATCATAAGAATGTCTTCTTTGCATTCTCATCATCCCTACCCGTTCCTTTGTCTCATTTTTATTATCATCACTAATCGTAGGATTGATTGCTGAATAACTTCGATAATTTTGAATTCTCTTAAATTCTTCTTGTTGTCTTTCCATTATTATTTAAAAATATTTTAAGAATAAAATTAAAAATTATAAAATTAATTATAAAATTAAAAAATCATTTTATTTAAAATCATTTTTAGGAAAGTGTGATTTTAAATAACCTGTTATAGTTTTGATAAATATTACCAACTTGATTACTTTTATGGTTAAGATTTAATAACTTAAAAATAAAATCGTTGACTATTTTGTTCAACTAGATGACGTTATGCTTTTTTAAAAAAGAAAATTTCTAAAAGATATGTATATTCATGAAGAAAACCAAATCTAATTAATATTAATATTAATGCCATTTTTTTTGTGAACAGCAACTACTAAAGAACATACCGCTACTCCTCTTCTGTTTTCAAAGGCATAGATACCAAATTTGCATAAAAGGTAGTATACACGTTATTATTTAGAGCTATGGAAAGCTTTAATGGCTGTAAAAATACCAATTGTGTAAAAATTTACAACAAATCTGTTTCTTTATTATTATATTCCGAAAAAATTTATATGAAATAAATTCTCTCCGTACCACTGTTCTAAAATGCCTCCTGATTAAAAACCTCTAATAATTTTATAAATGTGACGATTTTCCAGAAGCCTTAGCGATTAAAAGTTTGTAATACTAATAAACACTAATAAAACAACGTACTGTTCCCAAACCACTATTCATTTTCTGTTTTCAAATATATGGATACCAAATTTGCATGAAAGACAGCATATGCATTATATTTTAAAGCTATGGAAAGTTTTAAAAATACCAATGATGTAAAAAACACATTTAAAATACAACAAACTTGTTTCTTTATTATAATACTTCTATCTATCGCAACTTTCGAAAAATAAACATAGTCTCTCCACAATACTGTTCTACAAATGTTTCTTGATTAAAATCTCACTAATAGAACGGTTTTCCAAAAGCCTTAGTATTAGCAATTGAGAATTCTAATAAAACCGTTCCATATAATTACACCGGTTCTGTTTTTAGAAAAAAGGGCAACCATAAAAAATCTGCATATTAGTATTAATATTAATACGGGGACTTCTGTCTCCAGCAAAAACAACCTCCGAGTCTTTTGTGTTTTTTACATGATTATAACGGGTGAAAGTATTAGACCCTATTTTCTTTAATAAAAAAATGCGGAATCGTACCTCGGAACTATACAAAAAAACGAATAAAAATTCTCCGATACACATCACACTGTATACATGTTGAAAACCATGATGGGTAAGTTTTATTAATATTTGTGCAGAAACAATAACAATGATAAATTAATAATATGATTAAATTTTCTGGTGAAGGAGCGAGCAAAGAAATTGATGAAATTAGGTGATTATATGACTTGGTGAATCTGATCCACAGCAGAGGTTTACTTAAAGATTATAAAAATAATTCTTACATGTATATTATATCTATTTGACAATTTTATTTGGCTAGTGGAATCTTTGGTCGGAAAAATTCTTCGGGGACAATACAGAAACATGCATATGCTAATTGTATGCGATCACATCAACCCAGTCCACAATGGTATGACGTATAACATTCATTGAGGGAACTTTGGGCAGCAACGGAATATATATCAAAGCCTAATATCAAATAGTAATGGCATGTCATATGACATTCGTTGAGGAATACTAGGGTGGCTTTAGGCTGATTTTTTTTATACATTTCTATATAGGAATTGAACTGATTCTTCAAAAGAAATTTGACAAAACTAGAGCTTTGGTAGATATAAAGATATGCAAGAAAAAAGATATTGATGTCTAAATTTTTGCTAATAATTTTTAGTTGCAAAGAATAAATTTACATAACCATCACAGAGTATTACTCTCATTGAGGCTATATTAGGAGAAAGAAATGGAAAATTCATCGGTAAGCTCATCATTATCGAACTCTTTTTGCTTTGATTGGTGAAGAGTCGGTTCAAAAACTTTCTTACTTATTGCCAAAGCTCTGATCCGATGAAACTTTAATTTACTGGCCTCCACTCTTGTCTGTATATTGACAAGCAATATAAGTATCAATAAGAAAGTTTAAGCAAACTCATTGAAAATAAAATGAATATATATACCTTGAATGAGTAAACAATTCTATTTGCATATAATTCAAGCTCCGAACGGTTCGGTTCGGTTTCGGTTTTTAAACACACAAAAAAAATTACTCGTACAGTCAAACCTCGTTTCAACAAAGTGGCTGTACATATAAGGAAATTTCATTCAAATTTGTTGAAACGAGATTACCAGTCGCGTTTCAACGAGTTTTTGTATGTGTAACAAAATTTTTAAAAATTCATTGAAACGTGAATTTAATTATAATTCGCTAGAACAAAGTTCGTTGAAACTGTACAAGCTTCTTATATAATTAAATTAATTACAAATATTGCACTTTACTTACTATTTAGCAACTTAATCATGAATCCGCACTTCTTGTGCAATTGCGATTCAGTGATTTAACCCCGAAATAGCTCCTCAAGTACGAAATCGTTCCAAGTGCAAAATCTACGTTAATTTCTACTAGAGTTGCCTTTCTAAACTCTAACATCTTTTCTAAACTAGTTTAGAAACCCTAAACTCCTACTGTTTTCGAAACTCCTAAACTGATTTCATGACATATGACGTGTAACCATGATTATCGAAATCGCTCATTTTCTCTATTTTCTCTTCAAGTGACCAAAGTTTTTATCAGAGTTAATTTTATTTTGATATTATTATCCTGACAATTAATTAATTATTAAATCATTGGTTCAGTTTAAAAATATTATAATTTTCTTATTTGTTCTAATATAATTTTTCCCTTTCTTAAAAATATATAAATTTTTTTTAATCACAATAATGTCAAACAATACTGATGTTGATATAAATAGTTTATCAAATTCAAAAAAACTTGATGGACGACCAAAAAATGCAGTTTGGCAACATTTTGAGTGCTATCCTTCAAAACATCCAGGACATCTTGGAGCCAAATGCAAAGCATGTAATTGTGAATGGAGTAATGGAGTTGTTAATAAAATGCAAGTCCATTTGGCACATGAATGCGAATACATTAAAGAAGAGATCAAAAAAAGATATATGTATATTGTTGCAGAAAGAGATGGTGTAAGTGAATCTTTAGAAAATACAGCATATAAAGCAAATACACAATCACTTGCTAATTTTTGTGATAAATATGAGATATTATCAAAAGAACATGCAGGAATTATAGATCATCCAACTTTAAAGGCTTTTGTGATTTGTGGTATCCCCTTTAGGATAGTTGAAACCCTTTTTTTCATCAACATGTTAAAAAATTTCAGATCAAATTATAAACCTCCTTCATGAGATTGTCTTAGTACTAAATTATTATCAGATGAAGCTGTTCGTGCGGATATAAAAATTAATAATATTTTAGAAAAGACTAACAACTTGACATTGGGTATGAATGGTTTTTATTTTATTAAAATTATTTGTTTGGTTGTAATTTTTAGGAGTTTCGAAACAGCTTAGGAGTTTCGAAACAGTTTAGGAGTTTCGAACGGTTTAGGAATTCGGGCTCATTTTTTAAACCAGTTTAGAATGGTTTTAATTTCGAATAGTTCTAAACTCATGAGTTTCGGAAGGCAACTCTAATTTCTACTAGATAAGTTATACAGTCAAACCCCCTCTAAATGCACTCTCTTGCTGATTTACAAGCTCGTGAATTAGAGATAACTGCATACTCCTTCCCCCTGCACCGCATGGTCTATTTTTATTCCCTATATAAAACTCTCTAAATACACTCCCGTGATTTTCACGTGATAATTGTCCAATAAAAATTATGCGATGTTATTAAATTTCCTTGTTGACAAAAAAAAAAGAAAAAAAGGATAAAGAATTGATTTTTTGTAAGAGATGATAAAGAATTAAATTTTATGCTTAGTAAATGATGATAATATAAAGAATTAAATTTATTATTGAGGGAAGCATAGCGGACATTTGAATTTGTCACATGTGACAAAATCGATTGGCGATCTTTTTTATATTGTGTGACCGTTCGAATTCAATTATTTAAAATAGAAAAACATGGTCGTAAATAACATGATCAAAAATAATTGTAAAACCCAAAAAATACTTTACAATAATATACCTTTTGTTGGAAACTTTATTTTGGTTAAAAATAATCCCGTTAATCCCGCAAACTGCAAGATCTCATTATGAATTAAAGATTTCAAATTTTATATATAAATTTATCAAGGTGCGCAAAAATATTATTTTTTTATTTTGAAAAAAATATTATTTTTTTATTTTGAAAAAAATAAAAATATACAATTACAAAACATATAATATTTTTAATTATTGATTCTAATGCCTTTGTTTGTTATAGAGAGTGTTTACTAGGATGTTCATTATCAAGAAAAATTAATTAATTATAAAAAAATGAAAAGGGAAGTTTCATTATTGAGGGAAAGAAATGAATAAGAGACAAAAGAGGAGTTCATTATAGAAAGAGTGAACTGTAGGCATTATGTGATTTGTTGATTACATGAAAGGTAGTTAGTTGTTTAAATTTATGCATGCAAAAATATATATATATTATCGTTTTTTTTTTTATTTTTTTTTTATTCTTTTGATTTAATTATAAGACATATAATATACACTGCCTGGAAGAAAGTATCCGAACCTCGATTTTTATTAATTCCGCAAACTTTTACGTAATAAAAATTTTTTTTGAAAATATCATCATGTAGCTTAGGTTCTAACGAATGTGTATGCAATATTTCACAATTCTGGTATTTATATTAATTTTTTAACCAAAAAAAAAACGAACTTCAATTAAATTTGTGATTTTCATCCTCGAATTTTGTTTAAATTTGTATTTTCTCAAAATTTTACATAACGAGAAAAAAACCAAAAACACCATTTTTTAGCCTAAATTCTAAGATATAATTATGGAAAAAATTATTCTCCTGTCATTGGTAGAAAATTTGTTATTAAAAATAATCTGACAATAATAAAATTGATTAAATCAAAAAAAATTTTTAAAAATGCCAAAA